ACATCACACGTAATCAAAGAATTCGAAAAGGTTGTTGCCAGAGGGTTGGTGCAGTACATGGAAGAGGCTGACCTTTTCAACAGAAGACAACACGGTTTTCGACGAAATCGTTCCTGCTTGTCTCAGCTACTGGAGCATCACACCAAATCCTGGCCATGCTGGAGAGGCCGGGGTGGACGTGGTGTATTTGGACTTCGCGAAAGCGTTTGACAAAGTTGACCATGAAGTGCTCTTCAGAAAATTAAGACTGCTGGGGGTTGGAGGTGAATTGTTGGCATGGATCCATAGCTTCCTAATAGAAAGACTACAAGCTGTAGTAGGAGGCTCGAGATCAAGTGAGGCTTGGGTGAACAGTGGAGTACCACAGGGAACGGTACTCGGCCCAATCCTCTTTCTCATTCACATCGCCGACATAGATGTGGCAGTGAACCACGCCTCTGCATCGTCATTCGCGGACGACACCAGGATACTAATGACCATAACGGACAGGAGAGACTGCGAGAGGTTGCAAGAAGACCTCTCTGCAATATATGACTGGGCCCAAGTGAACAACATGCAGTTCAACGGGACCAAGTTTGAGGTTTTGAGATACAGAGGTAGCGGAAGAGCTGGTATGGAGCTTCGCTACCTAGCACCTGACAACCCGGAAATCGAAGAGAAGCGACTCGTTCGCGATCTACGAGTGCTGATGAATACTCAGGTCAATTTTGGTGATCTCGTAACAGCAATAACCGCAAGAGATAGGCGTCAGATGGGGTGAATCTGGCAGACGTTCAGAACTAGAGAAGCGGAACCAATGACCACTCTTTAGAACCCTAGTAAAATCAAATCTAGAATACTGCTGCCAGCTCTGGACCCCGTTCAAACTCGGCGAAGTGCAGCAACTGGAAGGTGTCCAGCGAACCTTCACGTCCTCTCAGGATCAGAGAGATGGAAGAGTTTAACTACTGGGAGAAGTTAAGGCGCCTAGGTCTGTACTCACTGCAGAGGAGACGGGTGAGGTGTGTCATTCTGTACACATGGAAGATATTAACTGGAATGGCACCAAACTTCGAGAGCGAGACATTCAGGATTGAGACAAATCACAGCGAGAGAAGAGGGAGACTGTGCAAGATTCCCCCACTTCGTTACAGATCTGCAGTCAGATTTCAATCCCTTCGGGAAGGATCACTTTCCGTTTCAGGGCTGATGCTGGTTAACGTCCTACCAAAGGATCTAAGAGAGACCTTCTAAGTTCACCTTGGAGACCTTCAAGAGACGACTGGACGTGTTCCTGGGTACAATCCCAGATCGACCTCCCCTGCAACACTACCAGCGGCGAAAAGCAAGCAATAGCATCGTGCATCAGCTGGCCCAAATGAGGGCGGATGAGCGATAATTAATCAGAGGTGGCGATCCATCGTGGCCTGGGACTGCTACGTCCGAAACAAATACCAAGGATGTAGATGGTGTTAAGGCGAAAAACATCACTCATGCACGCCTTTGCGGGAAGTTTCATCGAAAGCTTACTTGAATATGGTGTAGGTAATTGTCACCTTGTTTGATATTATAATACTTATCAAAGCTTTCTGCTGAGTTAGATGTTAAAGTTTTTTCAAAGACTGTTTGGGAATCAAAAGCAGGATTTGTTTATTTTTGTTGGGCAAGGTGACCCACCCAGTTCAGACTGAGTACCAGGATTAGAGCAGAGAGGTGCAAATTCGATTCTAGCTACCTGCGACAGTTTTTTGGTCAATATCGACCAGGAGGCATCCCAGTCAATCACCAATGTGGGCAACGATGTCGATTAGTGTGGGTCACTGCATATCGCGGAAGATCCGACAACTCGAAGATTTGGAAATCGAATTTCCCTGAATAATCTATGCAGATGCATGGCAAACTATCGACTGTGTGTTTATCAATTCAGATCGAAGTATCCGAGTGTAGGCAACTTTACAGAGCAAACCGAAAAATGTGCAAATTCATGTGCAAATATGTCGGTTGGCTATTCAATCTAATAGGATAATGAATTGGAAATTGATATGCACTTTAATTTATGATTACCAAGTTAAAATTGTGTTCAAAATTATGTTCAATCTAGTTCAAGTGATAGAATGCGCTATTTCAGGTCCATTTCTGATGTCAGTTACGATTATTATATCACGTAATTATTTTAATACTTTGAAATACGTAAGTGTTTTACTAGCTTTCCCAGTTTGAACGCTTCCGCAAAGAGGAACGTTTAAGCCTTAATGTTAGCTTAATCTTAGTAATCTTCGGGAGATATCGATTAGTTTGCCTTAACATTTTTTTTCTAACGTGAGTGCAAAGAAAACGTTTTTTACATGCATGATATAAATCTCCTACTATCTACTAAAAGTCGTATGAATAAACTGCTTCAAAGCTTAGCAATATTTTTATTTGAATATGAACTTATTATTTTTATTTTAAAGTTCATATTCAAAACAGTTTCATAAAGCTGCTTTAGCGTGTTCCATTAATCATGATAAATTTGCATCATTTTTCAACGAGGCTGATTTGAGGCAATAAAAAAATAGAGAAATAAATTTCGATGTAAATTAATCAGCTCCGTAATGAAATTTATATAAACTAAAGAACTAACTTGGAAATAAATTGAGGAAATATGGAAGTAACGGCATTTCGATTGCCAGAAAATAATAAAAAGTGGCAAGAGAAACAGTGCTTGTCTCCTTTACAATACGAGTAATATTATTTTTTCGATTGAATAGAAACTGCTTTCATTCCTATAAAATATATATAAATGAATATTCTTTAAACAGTTCCACCACAAATGTGGCTATTCCTCGATTTACCTGACGATTGCAAGCCATTCGTTTCGTAGTTACAGTACATAGTTGATAGAGCTCGCTGTGGTAAGGTGCCATGGTGGTCAAGTGGGCTGAGGCTTATCTCGGACGCGAAATTCCCGCGTTCGAGTCTCGGAGCTGCAGTCGACGTTTATCCGGTAAGAGAACTTAGCGGTGAATTACTTCTAACTTCTATGTATGATTAGTAATTGAATTTGTAAGATTGTAATTGATATATACGATGCAAGTGTATATATGAAGCAAATGTTCGACAGCGAAGACCATATAATCTCACATGTCATAGTAAATAGTAACGTGTCGATGACCGCGGAGAGAGAGAGAGAGAAAAAAATTACATTTGTTTTCGCGTAGTCGATAAACGGTCAAGCCCAACTGCCGGGCATTTGGCATTTATTTAATATGGATTAGACGTCGATTAGTGTAGATTCGACGTAGATCAATGATGATTCGACATCGATTAGTGCAGATTCGACTTCAGCTAGTATAGATACGACATCGTTCGATTCAGATTATTCGACTCAACAAATTATCGGGTGCAGAAACTTCAAAGATCTGCGCCCCGCGATATTGCCCTCTTACTTACCGACTCTAAATTGGGTTTTGCCTTCGTCGATCGAGCAGGAATCTGCATCATTATTCTTGATCGAACCACATCAATCTCCGTCGATCGATCAAGACTTGATTGACTGGGATTGAGGTTAAGCAAAGCAAAAATTGGAGCTGTGATTTGCGTTTTCGAGACCGCAACAACCTATGAATATTCTGCGAAATTAAGAATCGCCGACAGGCCTACGGCCTAAGAAATGCTGAAACTGTTGTTATTATTATATAACTATTTTTTTTGCTAACAGAAATGTGTGGAATGAAATTCCATGTGAATGAGATCATGATGGCACGCCGAGGCTTAGTGTGCTGAATTCGGTTCATTTTAGGTTCTGTTGAGTACTGGAGATACTCAAGGCCAAGTGCTACATGAAAATATTGATGTGGTCAAGTGCATTGGAATAATTTCCGCAATTTAAGTATATACATAAAACGATGCAGGTGTCATTGAAGCCCAAAAAGCATATCATTGTTCGGGACGCGTTCAGAGGAGCAACGCCCAGCTTTAGAACTCAAATCAGTCTTAAAGTTAACCTACGAATTGGATCTAAATCAGTCTTTGACCTTCCTCGATATACTCGTGCAAGTTGCGGATAATGTGTTCGTAACTAAAGTTTACCGAAAACCTATAGATGTTGGAGAAGTAGTGAACGAAGTAAGCCAATGTCCACAGTTATTCAAAACCAGCACGATTTGCGCCTGGAGACATTGAGCATTTGAAACCTGTATATCCGCTAGTAACTTAGGAACTGAACTCCGGATTTGCAAGCAAATTCTAGTGAACAACGATAATGGAAATAAAATTATCCACAGCGAAAGCTCATATTATCGAGCACGTCAGAAGCAATGAACCAACAGTGAGTTTATGGTAATAGCTTCCACCTCCGGTGCTTAAGATTTACGTATTTTAGAATCCTTGGACATTCTTAAACTTAAGCCCAGTTTGAATTCAGCTGATAGCTCCTATCCCTTTGAAATTGTGGATAGTTTTTTTTTGTGCTCTGTCTACTATTAGAAAATTAAAGTTTTTAATTGCGTTCTGTGCTTTCAAATATATTAATTTGTGAATTTCGATATGAATTCTAAATTCTACGAACTGAAGAAGGAGCTGGACTCCGAAAAGTTTTCTATAAAGTTATGAATTTTTGTGGACTATTCTTTGTTTTTAAAATTTTAGTTAACTTGTAGTATTGTGCTGAATAACATCAGAAGCACAATCAACCGAATCAAACTCCTGATTTCCTATAAAACAAGAAAATTAGGAATTAAAAATAAATAATAATTCATTCAAAAAGTCGTAACCATTACAAGACACCAATGTTTTGTACAAATATTCATGCTACAAAGAAGGTTGTAGACTTCTCCAGAATGTAAATTAAAAAAAAATCCAAATTCATTCAGCGAGTGACTGTAGAATTCATTTATTCATTTTATTGGATCTGAGTTTACATTCTCCATTTTAGAAATAACTTCTAAATTCATATTCAGAAATAATTTTTTTGCTCAGTGCATTGACCTAAACTAGGCATGAGACCGACTAGTTCCATCCTCTCCAAACTGCGAACTTACATGTCTCTTCCGCTCCTGGCCTCGCAGTTCGACACGAACCACACCGCCTGTTTGTTTTTACCACGCGAGTAGTCTTTAGTCGATAGGAGCAATCGAGGTGTGGCAAGAGGGCGAAACACTCCGTACCTGAAAATATTACGTTATCATACTCAATTTATACTTTATAAGAAAGATGTCCTAATCTTTATGATCGAAGTTTTCTGTTGTTTAAAAAAAGTCAATCATATATCACAACATTGATGAATTCTAATTTGTTTTTTTAAGTTATGCGTGGTCATGTTATGTGGAATCTCAATCGCAATTATCGCCCAAAAGTGTGATTTACAATCGTCAACATAATAACTAACGATATTGATCAAAATTAAGAAAAATGGAAGTGCACTTCTGATATGAACGGTGTTCATTATCCTGCACGCACGATATTATTCGATATTATTTAAAATCGTGCAATTACGTTCAGAAAATGCAATATGGTGACTACTAAGGTACAACTAATTTCGAAAGAAAACGACGGGTATTTAAATCGACTCTTTTTGCCGGCCTGGTCTAATGCTATATCTTTACATTAACTGACATTGTCCTAGAAGTATTTAATTTATATCAGATTCAGTTTTTCATCTCCACTCAACTCACGGATTGAAGATGTCAGAGTCTCTCCGATAAGTCATGGTATAATTGAAGACGTACTTCAATGAATCTAGTTGTTTTTTGCCCAATCCAGCCACGAGTGGAGGCTCCCAGTCATAGTAGATGTATCGTGTGTGCGGTGATCTGTTGAGATGCAGACATGAAAATAGGTTATTCGGTTGATTTCTACCACGCGTGTTCGGTTCAACTTCAAGACTAGCAGAACCATTTAGTTCATGTTTAAAGGTAGGCAAGTGGTCAGTACCAGAAGATTTAAAAATTGGTATATCTAAATTAATGGAAAATAAAGGATTTTCTCCCCCTGTTCCGAAGCAAGAATGAAATGAGAGAGTTATGAATAAGAATTTTATTAAAATTCACGGGATTCGGAGTAACTGGATTCCAAAATTACAGGGATTATCGAGCCAGACTTATAACGGAATAACATGCTCGTTATCTTTAAAATCTTCATACAGTATAAGCTATTCAACAGGCACTGTAAAAGTTACGGGCAACCGCATTGTCACACAATTTGAATCAGAAATCTGCTGCTTCAGCTAGATGCATTCGGAAGAATCAGATAATTCTTCTGCTTAGTACAATAATAATAATAACAATATTAAAAATGATAATAATAATAATCACAGGTTATAATAATAACCACCGGCACTAACATTATTAGTGTAGTGAGCAAAGGTTAAATATTATCATTAGTTCGTTCGTTATTCAATTTATCTTCCTGTCGTCGGTGCTGCTAATCTTTCCTATCGAATTTTCCTCCCATTTCACTCACCTGACGGGAGGGAAGCTCTTATCGTTCTCGATGGGGATCCAGACGAGAGCATCGATCTTTTGGTAGGGAACCTCAGTGCGGTTAGTGGTGATGTAACAGCTGCTCACTGGGCAACCCGCTCGCAGGAAGGGGTCTTGGCCCACGCCGAAGTAGAAAGTGGGCTTTGGGTAGTGGGAGCATCATCAAAGAAAAACGTGATAGGTGGATAGATAGTATGCAAATGCTGTTGATATGTTCTTCTAAGTATAATGTTTCTAGCTTTACGAACATGAATAACGCTTGAATGATGCAGAAGAAACAGTATATATCATCTAGTCTGATTTTCAGCGTAAAGGATTTTTTCTTGCTAGTCCATGATTTCTCCTTCAACTCGATTTAGGAAACAAACACATCGAACTAATGATTTTGCTTCGTCCTAAACAAGTTTAGAATTTTGTTACGAAAAATGTCTCAAAAAATTTATACCATGCGCAAGTATAACAACAATAAATTCTACGTAAATGGTACATTTGTAAGAACAATATCCCATCATGGCTACTCCCATGAATGAATTCGACTCACGTGATTCCAAAACAGAATATGTTTTAGTTGGTGTTCCTTGTTCATAGTAGGAGCTAATCTGCCTGGGCTGAAGTGATCAAACGAATACTGTTAATACAATTTTGTACATCAAAATGACCAGCTAAATTTTATCATTGTAATCTCAATTATTATTCTAGAAACTGATGATAACTTATACTATGTGCCCTGTATTGATTATATTGATTATAAAAAATACTTTGCTAGGCCTGTTATTATGCGAACATCGTATTTTGAAGAATAAATAGCAAGTAAACTAACCATTGATTCGCTTTAATTTAAATCAGTGAAATTCAAGATTTAACGAATATTGTTATGGGCTCACGAACTTGTGTTTAGACAGAAACCCGTACAAGGTTTGAAATAAGCATTCAGTATTGAATAAGTTCACGAAATTGCTGCAGCTATCATTTATGCTCGATTAAAATTTTTCAGTTTAATTACCACTAACTGGTCTCACCTTACGCTCACATGTTCCCTGATCAGGTCAGCAGGTCTTGCAAGCATTTCCGCCCTCACAAGTTGCAGCCAAGTGACTGGCTTCTGGACCGGCTTTTGTGAGGCAGTATTTGTGTCCCGGATATCTGGATGCTTTGGGTCAGGGTTGGCGGACGACGAATTTCGTGCCGAGATTTCTACTAGTTGCTGGAATGCCTGATCGTAATTTTCTGCATGGTCGATACCACGGCATTTTAACAGCGAGTTTAATTCGTTGTGTTGACTATAGATTACTTTGGTTGTGCAATGTGTATTCAGTAAATTATATGATAGAATGTTGTTCACCGTTTGCACTCTTTTTGCACACAACTCTAGTTTACCTGATGTTTTGGTTCACCTTTTGGCTGATATTTTTATCCGACCACATTGAAGAAAATTTAGCACCATCCGACAAGTTATCGGAAATGCGACTGTTCCAAACATTGTTTTCAGTTTTGGGCATTTTGAAGGATTTGCATTGACATCCAATAAGGAGTTGTGACTTAAGAGACGCTCTCTACCTATATTCCCTTCAGGGCTAAACCAGAATTGAGAATTAATATCAATGTAAGGAAACTTCAAGAAAAAAATCTCAGTAAACGTGAGCTAGCGCACAAAATAATAGTAATATTCAGTGAGAATATTACTATACTGTTCGAAAAGAAACCGTAAAAACTTTTTTCTGGGGTTCTTGTGAACGGCCGCCCCATGGAAATGCATCGTTTCGCCGTTTTTTCCAGATGTTATACGGATTTCTGGTGTTAAATTTGAATAAAAACGGCAATACGGTGTTTCATTTCACCTTACCGGCCGGTCACTGAAACGCTGGTATACCGTTTAACGGTAACTTTTCTAACAGTGATACGGAAACACGCAAATCGTTCGTCTAGGAATTAATTTCATGGTTTCGTAATCATCGCCTATTTTACAAATAAGGCGATCATTTAATTCACTTTTGAAAGTAGACACGGAAATTTTAGTATTTTCACAGAGCTCTTTGTATTTCGCAGACTTTTAACTGTTTCATCAGTTATAAGTAGAAGTAGGAGTGTACCATATGGATGGATATGGATAGATTGAAATCTTGAGTAGTAGTATTAGTAGTATGAAGGTTTGCTAGCGCTTCAACTATCAAATTATTTCGCACCGGAGGTCAAAATATAACTAAAATATCGCCAGCCAGGCGGAAGGTCTCAATTATTCGAAATCTCAAGTTAATCATCACCCACAAGGTGCGGGAGGTCTCAATTGTCCAGCCCGCTGAAGCTGGCTCGAAAGAAGCAGCGTTAGCATCTCAAAGAGACGAAGTGACAAGGAGGGACACGTGAAAAGCAACAGAAACGAAGACACTCGAACAAGAGGTCGCTGACACGGGACGTCGGCCGCCCGCACGTACGAGAGAGACAGAGAAGGGAAATGTAATGAATCCTACCTGCATAATAACTTAACTCCACAACTGAGACCTACAGTCAGACACCACGAGCTCAGCGGTGGGGCGCTAAAGAACTATCCCCCTAGGAGCGCGAATTCCCAAAGGCCTTCTGACGAGAACAGACACGCGTCAGAAGTCCCCTCTGAGGGGTTGAAATCTTGACATATAGAAGTAAAATGTACTGAGAATTAATCACTTGATAAACCGATCAAACAATCGGAATTTTGAATATCTCAGTTCATGGACATGTCTGAACTCTAATAATAATTTTTTCGATACTTTATCCATTGACCTAACGGGGCTTTTCGCTGAAAAATTCGCTGTTAATTTGACTTCGCTTTCCTAGTATGGATTTCATCTGGTATAAAATCTTGTACACTGCGCGCTACAAGGTACCATGGTGACGCTCTTTATCTACTAAATAAAATATTTATTCACGCATCTGCTCACAAAGTTCTCCAACTTTTACTAAAAACTGCAAATTATTTACACGCATACCCCTACTCACTCGTTGGTGACAGGGGCCACGTGTAGATGACGACGAGGAAGGTCGCGCAGCACAATATGCACCATTCCAGCCACTGAACACAAGAATATATTTGTGTGCACATAACCGCTGATAATTGTGACTTTACAAAGTATTAATTGTATAAATTCATTTTATTTACATTCCTCCTGTTGATTGAATCCTATATAGTCAATTCAAACAAAACCTTACAAGACGTAAATTAATAATTTCGTGGTGTAATGAAAGTTAGAGATGTTCGAAAAATGGCGTACGTGAAATTGGCAGTTCGAAAATTGGCGTCTTGAAGAGCCCAAGTTAATCAGAAAATATTCTTACCTTTCCAGTCATTGTGAAGATTCTTCGAGAATAGTTTGTTCTTCATAGAAGTCCCGTCCAATGTATCAGATTGTTACTCTTCCGTTCTATTTCCAGGCAATTTTTACGCCCATTAAATATACTGGATCATTAGGTGCACTGTGGTGCATCGTTATCAGAAAGAGCGTATGTATTAGATGATCGTAAAAAGATTTAAAATGTTTTTTTATTAATTGGCTTAAAACAACACAATGTTTAGATGACGAAGCGACATGAGCCATCGAAAACCTGCCTGACGAGCAGTGGGATATTAAGCTGCGCACCACCACAGCACACGAATGCTTACACTACACTGAACCTCCGATTACATTGAACTCTAACTACACTGAACCTTTGACTACACTGAACCTTTGACTACACTGAACTCTGACTACGCTGAACCTTTGACTACACTGAACTCTGACTACACTGAACCTCTGACTACACTGAACCTTTGACTACACTGAACTCTGACTACACTGAACTCTGACTACACTGAACCTTTGACTTCACTGAACTCTGACTACACGGAACTCTGACTACACTGAACCTTTGACTACACTGAACCTCTGACTGCACTGAACTCTGACTACACGGAACTCTGACTACACTGAACCTTTGACTACACTGAACCTTTGACTACACTGAACCTCTGACTACACTGTACCTCTGACTACACTTAAACTCTGACTACACTGAACCTTTGACTACACTGAACCTCTGACTACACTGAACCTCTGACTACCTTGAACCTCTGACTACACTGAACCTCTGACTACACTGAACTCTAACTACAGTGAAATTTTGACTACACTGAACCTCTGATTACACTGAATCTCTGACTACATTGAACCTCTGATTACACTGAACCTCTGACTACACCGAACTCTAACTACAGGGAACCTTTGACTACACTGAACCTCTGACTACACTGAATCTCTGACTACACTGAACCTTTGACTACACTGAACCTCTGACTACACTGAACCTCTGACTAAACTGAACCTCTGACTACAGTTAACCTCTGACTACACTGAGCATTTGACTACACTGAACCTCTGACTGCACTGAACCTCTGACTACACTGAACCTTTGACTACACTGAACCTCTGACTTGGTTATCTTGGTACTTGTTTGGGACGTAGCAGTCCCAGGCCACGATGGATCGCCGCCTCTGATTATCGTTCTTCCGCCCTCATTTGGGCCACCTGATGCACGATGCTGTTGCTTGCTTCTCGCCGCTGGTAGTGTTGCAGGGATGGTCGATCTGGGATTGTGCCCAGGAAAACGTCCAGTTGTCTCTTGAAGGTCTCCAGGGTGAACTCTCCCTCTCTTAGATCCTTTGGTAGGACGTTAAAAAGCCTTGGCCCTGCCATGGAAAGTGATCCTTCCCGCATGGATTGAAATGTGACTGCGGATCTGTTACGTAGTGGGGGCATCATGAACGGTCTCCCCCTTCTCTCGTTTTGATGTCTCAATACTGAAGGTCTTGCTCTCGAAGTTTGGCACCATTCCGGTTATCATTTTCTATGTGTACAGAATGAAATATCTCTCCCGTCTCCTCTGCAGTGACTACAGACCCAGGCGCCTCAACCTCTCCCAGTAGTTCAACTCTTCCATCCCTCTGATCCTGGAAGTGAAGGTTCGCTGGACACCTTTAGGTTGCCGCACTGCGCCGAGTGTGAGCGGCCGAGTGTGCAGAGTGCGCCGAGCTGCCAAAGCTGGCAGCAGTATTCAAGAATTGATATTACAAGAGCTCTAAAGAGTGTGATCATCGGTTCAGCTTCTCTTGTTCTGATTGTCTGCCAGATCCACCCCATCTGTCGCCTACCTCTTGCGGTTATGACCGTTACGTGATCACCAAAATTGACCTGAGTATTCATCAACACTCCTAGATCACGAACAAGTCGCTTCTCTTCGATTTTCGAGTTGTCAGGTGCTAGGTAGCGGTGCTCCATACCAGCTCTTCCGCTACCTCTGTATCTCAGAACCTCAAACTTGGTCCCGTTGAACTGCATGTTGCTCAATTGGGCCCAGTCATATATTGCAGAGAGGTCTTCTTGCAACCTCTCGCAGTCCCTCCTGTCCGTTATGATCATTAGTATCCTGGTGTCGTCCGCGAATGACGATGCAGTGGCGCGGTTCACAGCCACATCTATGTCGGCGATGTGAATGAGGAAAAGGATTGGGACGAGTACCGCTCCCTGTGGTACGCCACTCTTCACCTTAGCCTCGCTCGATCTCGAGCCTCCTACAACGACAGCTTGTAGTCTTTCTGTTAGGAAGCTGTGGATCCATGCCATCAATTCACCTCCAACTCCCAGCAGCCTTAATTTTCTGAAAAGCACTCCATGGTCAACTTTGTCAATCGCTTTCACGAAGTCCAAATACACCACGTCCACCCCGGCCTCTTCCTCCAGCATGGCCAGAATTTGGTGGTGATATTCCAGTAACTGAGACAAACAGGAACGATTTCGTCTAAAACCGTGTTGCCTTCTGTTGAAAAGGTCAGCGTCTTCCATGTACTGTACCAACCTTCTGGCAACAACCTTCTCAAATATTTTGATTACGTGTGATGTTAATGTAACCGACCTCTAATTTAGGGTTTTGTCTCTTGCACCTCCTTTGTAGATAGGAGTAATTAGCCCTAATTTTAGGTCACTTGGAACATTTCCTTCTCTCAATGATGTTTTGCAGAGCAAAGTCAGAAGGACCTTTAGTGCACAGACACATTTTTCAGTAATAGACCCCATCAGCCCCATCTGGCCCGGGATCCGAATACATAGATAATTATTGGATACTCCTCTCTAGATCCGGTGTTTCAAACTCAATGTTCATCAGCTCCCACTCTCCTTGTAGGTCTTGAATGACTCCAATTTCGTTCTCCAGTCATGAGTATCGGGGTTCGCTGAATACTTTTTCAAATTGAGCTCCCAGAAGTTTGCACATGCACTGGTCGACTCCAACAAGGAAATTGTTATTTTTCAGAGGCCCCACTGAGGCTCTGATTTTGGCCTTTGACCGGGTATATTTGTAGAAATATTTGGGATTTTCTCGAATGGCAGACACCGCTTGCGCCTCTGCAATTTGTTGCTCGGTCTCGTGTGAGTCCTGCAACAGTCGTTCAGTTTCCTTAATTTTAACCTTTAGATGTTCCAGCCTCCGCCTCTCTATATTCCTGGAGGCTGCCGTTATCTGGCTGTTCAAGCTCGCTCGTTTTCTCATGAGGATCCGTCTGTCCCTCGGAATTATGAAGCGTTTGGGGGTCATTTTCCCGGCGAGTGACGCACGCATACCTGCCGTAATACTTCGCACAGTTTGTTGTATATTGTTTCGGCGTGTTCGTTCCCAATGGCCTCCCAGTCTGTTCTTCGATGATGAAAATTTGGCCCAGCTAGCCCTTATCGAAGTGTAGGTCATGGCTGGGTTCCACTCTCAATTGTTGTCTTGACCACCACTAGTCGATGGTCAGACAGTGTGGTCTCATCAACACGAATATCAGCAACCAGTTCTTCATTGCTGGTGAAGAATATATCCAGGATATTATGTTCTTTTGTTGGCACCATAACCTGTTGGCTTAGCAAGTGCTCCCTAGCGAATCGAAGTAGTTGTGTTGCCTGGTTTCTGGTTTGATTTCTGCGCCATTCTAAACAGTCCAAGTTTGGCCATCGTATGTGTGGTAGGTTAAAATCTCCCGCAACCACAATATTTGGGGAAGGTTCACCCTAGTTGGCCACCTCTGTTTCTATTCTATCAAGGTATTTATTGAATTTTTCAGGCGGGCAGTCAGGCGGTCGGTATACGATAACTACGCACAGATGGAGATGGGGGATGTATAGTATCCCCCCATGTTCCACATTGGGGATACGTGTTCCACATATCCTTTGGAGCCTAAATGCAGAGGAACTGTTTTTGCCGCTAGGACGTTTCTGTGGTAGACTATAACGCCTCCTTTTCTTTTCCCTTCTTTTCGATCTGCTCGGTAATGTTGAAAGCCCTTCATCTCGATTTCTCCATTTGGATCTCTTCTCTTAGGTGTGACTCGGAAGGCAAGCATGATTATTCCTTCTGCCTCAGGAATTTCTTTAAGTACGCCGATCTTATGGCGTTTTTTTCTTGGGAAGAGCCCCTCTATGTTAGTTATCATGATGCTAGACTCTTCCCTTCCTGGCGTACTGAGTTGCTGTAACACTCTCCGCAGCTATTGCATTTGTTGCTGTGATTTCTGCTGTTGTTCGTGCAATGTCAACAGCTGCTGCATTTGTTGTTGAATCTGATCTACTTGCCTCTGTAGGCCTAAAAAATTTCTGCGCGTGATATCGAGTCCTGTTTGTTCTTCTTCACTCCGGTAGGTTGTGTTGGCCGGTGCGGAAATTTTTGAAACTGCCCTGTTCCTTTGATTACGATAGATTAACCCTTCCCAGAACTAATTTGTAGTCCAGTTCAGACTTTACACACAGAGCATTGCCTAGTCAACAAGGGGCCTATGGGGCCATTGCCTATGTGATTCCTTACCACGGACACCGTTCTAGGCGCACCGCATTCAACACGAGGAATGGCACTACAAGCATCTCAAGAAATGAAATGGAAACAGCGCAATTTTCTTTATTCCTTGGAGTCTGAGTCGGCTCTACAGTCGGCTGCACACACGTGGCGTCCGAAAACTGAAAGAGATCCTGCCTGGGTCGCAGAACATTTTGCATGGGAGGCGCCGTATCTTCTTTTTCTGGACTTCCTTGTTTGGCTTTCTTTGCCATTGATGGCAATATGAAGCCTTTATGATGTTTCCGCTTTGGTATTGTTGTTGGAGAACGTCTCGCAGTGATGAAAGCTATAGAACAGCAGCTTCACTTACGACAGTAACTACGCAATTGAACGCACAAACATTTTTTGTAACCGTGTTTCAACAACATCTTATCTATGGTAATAAGATGCAGACTATAAATTTTCATGTAGTGTAAGAATTGCAAGAACACACGAACCGTTTCCAGATG